TGATGCCTGATGCCTGATGCCTGATGCCTGATGCCTGATGCCTGATGATGCCTGATGCCTGATGATGCCTGATGCCTGATGATGCCTGATGATGCCTGATGATGCCTGATGATGCCTGCTGTTGATACCTGCTGCTGATACCTGTTGATGATGCCTTCTGATGATGCCTGATGCCTGATGCCTGATGCCTGCTAATGCCTGATGATGATGCCTGATGATGATGCCTGATGATGATGCCTGATGATGCCAGATGCCAGATGCCAGCTCGAGATCTTACTTCCTGCCATCATGATATTGAACCAAACCTCTGAACTTTATGACAGTCCCAATTAAATGTTTTCTCTCATAAGGGTTGCTGAGGTTACAGTGTCTCTTCACAGCAATAGGAATCCTAAATAACAGTCTTTTTAGGTCTAGAAATTGTAGGTTGTTTATCATCTATCCAATGATTAACATCCACATGTATGTAAATATATAGCATATTTATCTTTCTAGATCTGGGTAACCTCACTCAGAATGATTCTCTTTAGTTCTGTCCATTTGCCTGCAAAGTTCATGATGTCATGTATAAGGATGTAATTATGTATGTATTTTATGTGTAGGGGTACTTTGTCTGGATGTACACATGCACACAAGAGGACAGCATCAGACATTTGTAAGTTGCTGTATAGGCTTTGGGAATTGAACTCAAGACTTTCATAAGAGCAGTGACTTCTATTTATCCACTGAGCCATTTCTCCAGTACCCATGATGCCATTTGTTTATCAGCTGGGTAATACTCTATTGTGTAAAGTTAACAAATTTTCTTTATTAATTTTTTCAGTTGAGAAATATCTAAGTTGTTTCAAGTTTCTGTAATGAACATGAGTGAGCATTTGTCTTTGTGATAGGATGAAATATCCTTTGGGTACATGCTCAAGGTGGTATAACTGGATCTTAAGGTAGATTGATTCCCAAATTTCTAAGGAACTGTCATATTGGCTTCCACAATGGTTGTGCAGGTTTGTACTCCCACCAGCAATGGAGGAGTGTTTCCCTTATTCCACGTCATTCCCAGCATGAGCTGTCACTTGTGATATTAATCTGGCTATTATTGTTTGTGTTATGTTGGCATATGTACATGTGGGGCTTGGATGAATATATCTATAGTTGTTGATATCTATGTTTCTCTTCATTGATTGAATTTTGTTCCTTGATTGTCTTTTTTTGTTTGGTTTGCTTTTGGGGGTTTTTGTTTGTTTTTATAGAATGTGATGCCTGTATGTTACCCTGTAGGAAATGATCTTTGAACCTAATAGTTATATCCATGAGGGGTTCCAGATAAGATGTTTTTGTATATTGAGAGCTGACACTAAAATTGAGGATAAGATAGTTGTCTAAAGAGATTCACACAGGTGGGAGGATTGTAGAGTGTTCAACCCAGATATGTTTTTCTTTTTGGAGTGGGGGAACACAGTGAAGTGATGTTATCCCACAGCTTCTACTGTAGCCCTGGATATAAGACAAGTGATAAAGAAAGCAGATCTACAGACGCCTCTCTCATTTATTGGCAGGTTTGGTCTGTTAGGATGGAGAGCCAGCTGGGACTGGGATAAAGCAAGGATGAGGAAAGGGAGGTTAAGAGGTCAAGGTGTGTGAGATCCAAAGGTGATGTGTGAAGGGAGGGAAGGAAGCCTGCAGTAGGTGTTCAGTTGCAGAGAGTGGGAATGAGATTGGGGGATTAGGTTTCAAGTACAGAAGGGTATGGTAAAGATCTTCATTTTGCTCACCTGCTTCCCTGGTCTAATCAACTGGTAAGTTCACAGGCAATTCCCTCAAGCATTAGAGATACTGAGATGTGTTAGGGAAGAAAAGTTGAAAGAGAGACTGGTTGGGAATGAGGTCAGATAAGAAAGTGGTGAATCAGCAGGTTTCCTGTTAAGGATCTGGGGATGAGTCTGGGAACTGGATCTGGATTTGGAGGATTGGAAGGAGAGATATTGGCTACTTGTTGCCCTGGCAAGAGCAGGCCTTGGATTAGTAAGGAGTGAATGTTTATGTTGGGGGCTGGGAGAAAGCATCTTGTGGAACAGGGCTGTTTGAAGGGGAGATCTGTTTGTGGGATACACAGGAGATGGATGATCAATGACAGAAAAAACTCACAGGTGTTCTGTTGTAGGTCTAAGGGCTGAAACTGGGGATTGGTTCTGAGGGAATGAAGGAGAAGAGAAGAT